AGCGGGGAAAGACCCAGGCAGGTTAGTCAGCAGCTCCAAGCCGGGCTCTTCATGCCGTGGCCTTGCCAGGAGAGTCTTTGGAAAGTAATTTTAACTTTCCCGGAGGCACCTCAGAGATACTCAGTGATACGTTGCTGGTTATTTTCAAGCAAGAGAACAAGCCCACAAAAATGCAGCAGACAAAACTGAAATATTTAACTCTTGAAGGAATACCATCTTTTCTTCCTAACTTACACAGACCTCTGGACAGATAAGAAGCCATTTTAATAACAGCAATCAAATAAAATACCTGGGCGGTAAAATGCAAAACCAACAGCAGCACCAAACAAGCCTCTTTGATTTTGCTCAGGATTTAATAAATTATAAATTCATCTGATTTGTTATTTTATTCATGAAGGACTTGATTCAATTTGTGGGGTCTTTAAGAAATTATTTTTAATCCTGCATCTATGACTACAGCCTCTTTTTCAAACTGCAATGAAGTTGTTAATTTAAATGCCATAAAGGAAAAATCCACATTATTGAAGCATGCCATCATTAACTAGCTCTGTTTTGCAGCACAGTAACCCGCTGAGGAATGCTATCTAGCTATAAAAGATAGATAGCCCTGTATAGAACACCAAACTTTCTCAGAATTTACACATTACATAGCCAAACCAAACCCTCTCTAGATTAACCCCATAAAAAGCAACTAAATCATACAACACAAGACAAAATGTTCCTCCTTGTTCCACCACTTCCAGCAATGCATTTGAGTCCAAATACTATTTCCCTTTTCTGTATTTAAAATAGCTTCATAAAATTTGCTTAGTTCCTAGTGAAAAAAGCTGAAGGCAGAGGCTTTTATATTTGCACATCACAAGCAGTATTTACTTAATCGATACTCTAAAAACACATGTTAAGGACTACAAAATAAAAAGAGCAAATGACAGGTCCAAGGTGCTTATTAAGCGCAGGAGAGCTCTCCTGCAACACTAACAGATTCTAACATGAACCCATCTGCAAAAGTAAAGGGACACAATTCCATCAAAGTATATGTATGAAAAAGTTTTTGAGGAAAATGTTGCATGACAACTTATTCTTTCAGAATGCATTAAGAGAAACGGGGGAAAAAAAAAAATTAAGAATTATAGCAAGCAACAAATTGGACCGATGCTGCTTGTGGACTTGTATGACAGCTACTGTGGTGCCTTGTTTTGGTCTGTGTTCAGTCTTTTCTTTTTTGTACTTCCATGTCTCATCCAGAAAACAAGACACCATAGTTGTTTTTATTGGCTTTTTTTTATAATTTACAGAGATCTGAGATATTAGCATACACATAATTGTATTAGTATAGCATTTGCATATTAGCTGAGACTTGGGGACAGGTGATTCTACTTGTGTGTGTTTGATGCCTCCCAATGAATTAACTTGACTTCGCACACTGTTCATCCCCAGGTCAAGATTTTTTAAGCAATCTAGATTCCCGTCCGCCTCTGATAGCAAAACATTATACAACTTTAGAATACAAAAAACCCAAAGGATCGGGGGAAAAATTCTTCCAAGCTTCAGTTGGGTCATCCATATTCGGTCATCCATAATGCAATCATTTTGTTTGGAAAAGACCCTTAAGGTCATGAAATCCAACCATTAGCCCAGCACTGCCAGGTCACCACTAAACCCTGTCCCTCAGCAACTCAGCTGGCACACACCTCTAAGGATGGCAACTTGATCACTTCCCTGGGCAGCCTGTTCCAATGCTTAACAGCCCTTTCAGTGAAGAAATTTTTCATGATATGCAGTCTAAACATCCCCTTGGTGCAACTTGAGGCCATTTTAGCTATTTCAAGTGCTAATAGCTAATCCTTAAAAAACCTTTTCATTCTCAGTAGTGGAAAATTTCATGGTTAAACCTTGGTCAAAAGCATACTTCTTAAGATCTGCAGCCTTTAAAATTCAGTGTTCGTACTGTAAGAAAAGAATCAACATCACTGGTACTCTTGATAATCACTTCTACATCTTTCTCACCCAACCCACCTAAGACAAGGTAGTGACAGGTTCACTACTTGTTTTATCCATTAGTTTTTTTCTGCTGCCTAAGGGCAGTAACTGAATTACACTAATTGTAACAGCAACAGAACAACCAAGCCACTGAAAAAATACCAAACACCACAACAGTGCTGGCAATCGCAAAAGGTTATGAACCATCACTACAGGGGAACTGAGCTGCAGCCACCTCTGGCTCCATAGTGGCAGCAGAAGCCTTCCAAACTCACTCCAGTCATTTACTGCAAGAACTATTCCAAGTCAGCCACCAGGCCACAACCTGCACGCTACACCCTAGACAATGGACCCCTCTGGCAAGTTATTTTCAGAAAGATCATTAGACAACTATCAAACGGTAAAAGTTATTAAAAGTAACATATGACAAAATGTTAAAATCGTACATATTTACATTATTTTATTTAATACTATGTAATGTATAGCTCCTTTATTATTTATAAATTACATATATATAATTTATACTGTTTCTGTTTTTAGATATCTATATAAGTACCTGTGTATATGCTGAATTCCAGAACATTCTCAATCCTGTTGTGGTCAGGGTTGAAATAAACCTTTCACAGCTGAACTATTTCCCCAATACCTTCTTATTACAGAATTGGCCAGCAGCATCTCTGATGACTCGAAAATGTGTTCTGGCAAATAACAGGTGCCAAGGTGAATTACACACAACTTTAAACTGAATTCAACAATTGATTGCTGTGAAGACTGAAACCTGAAAAGGCCACAACCCATGAAGCTGGATTTTGTGCTCAGATTTAATAATATACTTTCATATAATTATCTTTTTACATAAACATCAATTTAAATAAAAATTAATTTACTTGGAAAATCTAAATTAACTTCAATTTAGATACCTGATAATTTGATAAAGCTCCCTACCAAATTCTCATTGCAAGAAATTCCCTGAATTTCAGTTTGCATGATCTGTACTCTTAAAAAAGAAAACACCACAACCAAAGCATTCTGTAAAAAGTTTTATAACAAATAAGTTGTTCCATCTTGTTACTTTTCTTCAAGTCTTAATTGTGAAATTTCTTCTTCTTCCGATTCCTCTTCCCTGCTGCAAAAGCTGCTTTTTCACTCATGATCTCCTGATACTTCTTTTTATTATATCTGAACAAAATAGATAATTTACTTTTAAGCATGGTAAACCAAAGATGATGAAAAGATAAAATGGAAAGTACTCTACATATGTAAGTTGCAAAACTGAGTTCTTTCATGTTTTCTGAGTCAGATTTCTTTGATTTTATACACTGACTTGTAGGTAAAGCGAAAGCAAAGCTTGGATTAATGATAAATGTCGGTAAATTTGGAAGTAAACTTAATTGAAGAATCATTAATTTTGGCATAACCAGGGGGTTCTTAATTTTATATGCAATCACATTTTGGACAGTTTGCTAAACCACTGCTCCTGCTCATAGCAGGAAAATTCATCAACTTCAACAATGCTATGGACAAGTTATACTCATTTTTGTACTACCTTCTCAGCAAACTCAAGATAATCAACCATACCCTACTCAAGACTGAAAACTGAGATGAGATCACCACTAACCATGAGCATGATGCACTTGCTGAATACGAGTTGCTAGCTCCTCTAACAGATTCTTGCGCCCCTGCACCAACTACCACAACAGATCACTGCACCCTGGGCAGTATTGAGGCTTTTCATTACAACACTGAAACCTCAGAAATATCTACACTAATGCTCAAATATATGGTTAAAGCCCTTAATTAGCCACAATGTAGATTGTGATCAAAGATACTGATTTTTAAAAACAGCTTTTCATAAATACCTTATAAATTAGGTCAAGCCGGAAAACTACTTAAGAAATAGCTATATTGACTTGTCTTCCCAACATTAAGAATTCATTTACAAGGCTGACAACATTAACCTTGTCATGCCAAACCATGTACTACATAACCATGTACTACATCCAAGAAAAAATGCCATTACGTGAAAAAAGAAGAGCAGATTAACATCATGTAATAACCTATATTAAAACGGGTCTACTCCAGACATTTTAAGTTAGGCAGACATCGATTAATCCAATCAGTCTTCAGGTAAAACTTCTAGCACAATTTTGATTCCTATGCCAGGTGGCAGACTAACATGCTTATAAAATAAAATCATATTAACTTTCATAGAATTACAGTCAGCACTTTTCTATCAATTAGGCCAAGAAAAATTAATCAGTATTTAACAACAACAAAATGCATGCACGGGCATAAATCACTCATTCAGAGCCCCTGGACTTTAGTCTAAGCCTGTGCACGCACTCGTTTTCGAAGCGAACAAGATTACGGCTAATACATTATCTCTTACAACATTGACATTATTTTAAGAGTAGCTGACAATAGCCATAACCCACTGGATAAAATACTTTTATGATCTTCAGAAAATATGCTGTCCCAGTCTAATTACCCTCCGACCCTTAGATCTGCTCAATGGCAGGGCTGCTGAAGTGCTAAACAGACTAAAAAGTTTTCTTTTATGTACAAAAAACCCCACATAGGCCTAATAAATACTAGAAAAAAAAGTTACGTAGTTAAAAAAATACTTCTCTCACACATATTAGAATTACAAAAACATTTTTAAATACCTTCTGAACTCAGAATCTGCAAGCAGCTCTTCAACAATTGTTCTCTTCCTTTGTTTCTTAGGGATTCGACTATGGTAAAAGTCTATGGGAGAATCAACCACAGTTCCAACCTAGTAAAGAGAAATGAAAACATTCTTACTGTACAGCAAGACGTTGATTATTTTTCCCTTTTTCAAATCCTCAGCGACAAGTGTAAAGACACCTACAGAGAAAATCAGAATAGTATCTTAAGAAAGTCTAACATATCAAAAGATACAAGCAGTATTTTGTATGCATAGTCTCTTTTATGTCTCATTCAGTGCACAGAGAGGTGGCTGAGCTTTAAGACCGTAAAGCTTTAAACACCAGAGCGTTGCACCAATGCCTGTATTCATAAAAGAAATCTAGTTCTTAACTTTTAAACATTTTCTCAAGGAGGGAAAGGAAACTCCTTCCTGTCTGTCATTGTGGTGGCTCTGCTAGGTGGCTCCACAGCAGTTAATCCAGCTCTAATACAAGAGCTTGATCCTGGAATGCATCACATTTTTTCCAACTGGCACATCAGCCAGTTCTGATGACTCAGGTTAGTAGTGGAGATATTGAAAAAAGACCTGCAGAGATCTCATTATGTGCCCATCTAAGTTTTTTTATGCCCAGAAACTTCAAGAAATACAAGACCCATCCTTTGGAGTTAAGTGGTAGTATCTGGAGAAATGGAAACGATTGCCTCAAACAGGTGTAAGGAGATGGAAGCCCATTTCTGTAGTTTCTGCAGTTAATTATTTTCTTCATGCAAACTACTTCAAAGCCAAGAGCTACAGAAACAGGAACTGCAGCTGATCAGAGAGCTAGCTGTGCCCATTCAAACTGTATTAGCCAGCAAGAAAACAAATGCTATTTTTTTTTTCTACATGCCTGTTAAAAAAAAAAAGCTAATACTTTAAAAAAAAAGCAGTGAAAATGTAATCCTCTGAGGGCTCAGAACACAGATTAAGTCAGATGTTTAATCACTACAATTAGATCAATGGAAATTAAAAACATTCAAACATATACACATATGTAATACAGGGTTAAGCAGTTGTAAACTGCAGCCAAGCAAGCAAAATACTTTCATAATTAAGCTATGAGATGAAATCGACATAAAGGCTACCTACAAAATAGGCAGGGAACAAGAACAGATACTAAAAGCTTGAGCAGTATAATACTACCTTCTGCTGCCTCCTTACCTGGAAGTACTTGGGCAGACCATCTCTATCATTCTTCTTATAAAAATGCTTAGGGTCCAATGAAGCTCTCATCTTCAAAACTTTAAGATCATTTTTCAGTTCACTTGTGATTTCTGGGGCTTTCATACCAAACCAACCATCACCCGTTGTTTTCTCTCGCTCTGCCTAGAATGCAAAACCAAAAAAAATAAAATTTGCATTCAGCACCCAGAACAAGAACTCTTCCCTCCAAAAGATTGATAAAGCATTTAGAACACCTCTGTACCTTTAAAAAGTGTATTTTATGTCCCTTAAAGTAAGGTCATCAGCACTGTATTAAATGACAGATTTGTACCACCTGAGCACACTATCTTTCACTTGACTGTCCTGGTGACCATAAGGATGTTTTTTTACAGAATGGCCCAAGAAAGACACAAAACTGGAGTTCATCACTTCCAGTGGGGTCTCTATGCACACAGTCCCAGCGTGAGGCTGCCTAAGAAGGCTTGGCTTTGTTATTTGGTGCACTTTTTTTAAGCCCGTGTCTGGGGCTACACTACAGCAGTTGCTCTGTCACCTGATGACCCCTTCCCAGCAGAGAAGGGGAATTGGGAAAAGGAGAAGAGACGCGTGGGATTACAATGAGAACGGATTTAATGAGATGGCAAAACTAAAACCAGTGCCAATATGAAGTACACTAAGCTATGCTCAGCCCAGCAGATGTACAGTGGCCACAATTAACAGGAAAGCAGTCCTTGGGAGCAGGACGAGTAGGAGCAGGGTCAGAAGGAGGCCAAGCAGAAGGCCTCTCTCTCCTCAGCCAAGTTCCCCCTTTTTAACGAGCGTGATGTTTATGAGAAGGGATACAACCCATAAGCAGCTTGGGTCAGTTGCCCTGGCTGACTCCAAGCTGCTGATGGCCTGCAGACCATAGTCTATGACTCTGTCCCAGTGAAAAGCAGGACACGCCTCACCAGCTCTCCACTTACCCTGCGCTGTTTCTTTAGCTGGTGAAGTGATTCCCTGAAGGGTGGGACACATTCCTTTTTTTCAAAATCTGGAGTTATTACACTCTTCTGCAAGAGCTGCAAGATTTTTTTTTCTTATGTTAGACAGTCATCACCATGATACAAATTTTACTGCTTAACCACATTTACAGAACCTACTGAAGGAATCATGTAGAATCTAAGCAAGCATTATGAGCTTCTCTGATCCACAACAAAAGTTGTAGGGATCTTCAAAACACAATCTTGGCCAACAAGAGAAAGCAGCTGGCTAGCTCTGAAAGAAGTGAGAGGGCAAATGCTCTAGATTAAAGAGGGCTATCATTAGTGAGGCTAAGTAAACAGTCTCAATGAAAATAACACACTCCCTTTATGTCAAAGGGTGCTTTTGAAACAAAACTGCTAATTCCATATTAGGGAGAGTACAGAACTTCGTTTACTGAAATTCATTCTTGCTCTGTACTAAATATCCTGCCAGCAGACCTTGAACTCCTGTATCATGAGGCAGAACTGCACTCATAACCAACTTTGGTTTATTTTATAAGATAATGCTGGTATTTGCACTGCTTGTTTCTGAAAGGTCACATATATTTAAATTCTCACCACTAAAACCAAATGTAAATCCACACTTTGACCAAAAAGAATGAACGTTCTCAGCAAATTTTATAAAACAGGATACTTCTTTAAAAACAGATAAATCAAACTTATTAAATTAACATATTTGTGTTAGTGTAGTCAGAGGTAACCATATAACTGTAAACACGTTACCGGGTCCTTCTTTTTCTCCTTCAGTTGTTTAATTACACTTGAACTAGGCTTCTGTTTTTTTGCATCAAAACTAATATATAAACCTCCAAGCTTCTTGATATTCAAACCAGGGTCTATGCTGCTGGAAAGATGTAAACTAAAATAGAAATAGTTAATGATTAGAATATTGTAACAAGCGTGCAGCTAAACTTTCTTCTGTCCTCTGAAAAAGATAAATAGTAAGAAGTTTTTTTAATTCTTCCCACTTAAATTCAGCTCTGCAATGATTTTAAGTCTCAAGTGTCTTGAAGAAACACATAATTTAGAGATGGCAGAACATGGAGGGAGGCAGAAATCACACTGCACAAAGTGAGAGCTTATTAAACAATACCTGTGGAATCACTGCCACAAATCTTTCTTAACTCTAACGCTGTATTCTTATCTTAGATCTTATCACTATCTCCTACAAAATCAAATTATTAATTCACTTAACCTTGCCAAAAGAACTCACCACCAGTATCTTTCTTCTATACATTGAGAAACTTGCTAGCTAGAGAAAGAAAACCCACAAAAGCATAAACATGGGTGGTAAAAATATTGTCAGATCTTAGACAGAAGTATGAAGAAGCTAGAATTCATTGTAGGAATGTTTAAGTCCTTGTCTGTGTAACAATACCAGGAATATTGTTATTACACATTTCAAAGCTGGTAGGTTTCACATTTTTTTCATTAATTCATTCAGAACGGAGATTTTTGATGACAACAATGTGTCAAAGCTATGGAAAAATATAGTAGTATCTAAATAGGTACAACAGATACTTATTGTAGCTTGGATGCTTATTAATACAAGCCCTTTACAACTTTCTATTAAGCTGTGACTAATCTTTAAAGCCTTTACACTGAACACTTGGCTAAGTTTTCTAAGACTTCTGGCCTACCTGAATGTTTTTAGAAGATTAAGATTAGTTATCCAACGTAAATGGAGCGTTATGCTTTAAACATATGAATTATATAAAGGGATTTTAGCAATAGCTGGACTACAAGAGCTCAAAAGGCCCCAACCAACCAAAATTACTCTAGGATTCTATGCCAGGCTCATTTCCTTTTAAGTGTCACCATCCCACAGCACAATAAGAACTGAAAACATAAAAGCATATGCAACTCTTTAGGATTAAAAAGCATGATCTGGTTAGGCAATATGTAAGGATTTTACTTGACTCTTTTTTTAATTTTATTTTGTATATAAATAAGAATTAAGAAAAATGTGACCTGAAAAAAACAATTAAGTCAACCTGACTAGTTTAACCCAGTTTCACATTTTGTTTTTTAAGCTGAACACATACAAGACCTCCAGATGCCTAAATATTTTAAAGAGTTCTGTTCTGCTATATGCAAAAATGAAAAAATCCCAACCCTTCGATTTATGGACTATATTTGTATATTATAATCTGTGCAACTCTTATGCAATGAGACTACTCCCTCGTTTACTGCACACCACTTAGCACTTAATGTACACACCTTACACATATGCTTACATGAGATGCAAAGTCCTTACTTATTCCCAGAAACATACTTACACATCAATCTTATTTTTCAACAAGTCATCTTCATCTTTCTCATCTTCATCTATCAATTCCTCTCCAGTCTCTTCCAAATCTGAAGATTCTTTACCTTTTTCGCTTCCTTCATGCTTACTTTCATCATCACTATCTTGGTCTACCTGATCCAGATAATACTTTCGGCTGGAACTCATGCCAGGCTCAGTATCAATTACAAAAAGCCCTTCAGCATGCAATGAATGGTTTTTTAAAGATTTCTTGAGGGAAGGAGTCCTCCCATCTGTCTCTCGGTAACACAGATTCTCTTCAACTCTATCTGTGTTCACCATATTGCTATTTTCAGGTTCATCATGTTCATCTTTGCTAGGAAACAATGCAGCAGAATCATTTTCAGTGCTTGATCTCCCACTGCTGTGGGATACAGATTCAGCACATTCTCCTGCTTGGTCTTCACCACAGTCCATGCTGATTTCAAGTATCCTGCTTCTGTCAACGCTACAAGTTCTTTGTGCAACAACTATGTCCTGTTGTGGGCTGCTCACTGCAGCAGCTTGCTCAGCCTTTAATTTATCAGCATGGGCACAAGACTGCTGTGCATCTGCCTCAGAATCTGCTCTTTTGTGTTCTGGATTTTTTTTACTTTCATTTGGTGTTATTTGCCCTTGGGATTCTAAATATTGTTTGGGACTCATGCAATCAGTCAAATAAAGACCCACACGCTTTAAGTTCCTCTCACTCACAAGTATTTTACTGTGTTCTTTTTCTATTTGGCCACATGCTTCCTTCGAATCATCTACCCCAACAGACCATGTATTTTTTTTTTCTTTTTTCCCAGGCGATTCAATGTCACTTTGTTTCATTTTTCTAAGACTGCTGGGTGTCACATCATTCATAACCTCTTCTTCCACCTCTTCATTCTGGCTGGTGTTGGCAGATTCTGAAGAACACTTGCTTCTAGGTGAATTGGGTTCTTTATTATCCTGGGTCACAGAGGAAGCATCCTCTGTGTCAGAGAGAAGTTCTGCAGCAGGTCTAGAAACAGAAATTGTTACTGGCTCAGATTTCACAGTGTCCTCTATTAAACTCTCATTTTCTGAAACAATTCTGTTTCCTTTCTCAGTCTGCTTAGTATTTTCTGCTTGTGATTTCATTTGCATGCTCCTAGTAATTCTTCTGGTAGTGATGGAAGGTTCCATATGAGAACTTAAGCAGCTTGACTCTGCATCAGAAATATCTTCACTCTGGCCTTTGTGAACTGTATCTGGCTGCCATTTCTTCTTGCTTTGCCTGCTTCTTGTCATTCTGGTAAGATTAGGCATCTGGACACCAGAAATAGCAGAGGAACAAGACTCGGCTTCAGAGACATCATCTTCATCCAGAATCTTGCTTAACTTATTTAGAAAAGATGTCTTGTTCTGTCTTTTTTTGTCAGGAGAATCCAGTTGATAAGGAACTACAATTTGTCGTCTTCTTGTTACTCTTACAAACAAAGGTGTCTGAAGACCAGACACAGCAGAGCAGTTTGATTCTGCTTCCGACACATCCCCATCAGCCTGTGGTTCAGCAAGTGATTGTGCTGAAGGAACAGTTGTGTTGTCATTTCTAGCTTGCATCTCTAAGGTATCACTGACATCTGACTTTGTTTCTGTGTGCTCCAGCTCTTCAAACTGAGATTCCTGAATTACCTCTGGCTTATGAATTGATTTAGTTCTTCTAGTCTTTCTCACAGACACAGGGGTACTAAATTCAACAGACGCCACCTGGAAAAGGAGTGAAAACAAACCTGTGCTATTGACAGATAACCCCAAAAAGAGGATGCTATACAAATCACTAACAATCTTCTTAAACAAATCTACTCAAGCTGAGAAAATATTACATGTCTCTGTGTAGCTCTGTGTATGTGGAAGAAGTGCCAACAAGCCGTGCCTTCTGTATGTTTACTTTCTTTTGGTCATGGCAGGTGAAGAAACACAAACATCCACTACGAAATATAAACACACACATTAAAACATACAAAAAAACACCTTCTAGTTCCGTGAAGTTTTGTCCAGCTATCATAGGAAACAAGTCCTGAGGGGATGTTCAGAAATACTCAAAGATCTGCTCAGCTATAAACCACTGAAGCCCAGCAACTGGCTGAATGTGCCCCAAAGCAGTTTCCATATCCGATTTTAACAGTTTTAGGGACAGACTGGCCTGACAGCAACCGCAACACCAAATACAACTTACTCCTTTAACAACGCTTGTAAGTCACCTGGCAAAAAACTCAAAATTTTGGAAAGCAAAACTACTGTGCAGCAGCAGGATCTTCTCAAAACAGAGCAATTCTGAATCAATGTAAATTGTTCTACCTACACGATCAGCGTTTGCACGTCTCGTTGAAAAAAAACCCAAAGAAACAGTAAAATAGCCACAGTGCAAAGGGGAAAAAAACCCAAACCCACCCCAAGCGAACCGTTAGGTTTAGGTCGCAAAATTAAACGGCTGAACGGCCTCCACCGGCCGGCCCTCCCGCCCCGGGCCCGGCGGCC